GGGAACATCTGTTGCTCGACCATCGGCGCCGCCTCGCGTCCTGGTGGACCTAAGCGAGGATCGCCTGAAGGCCTTCAAGCAGTTCCTCTTCAAGATCTTCCGCAAGGAGATGCTGCAGTCGCTGATGAAGACTGTCGTCCTGGAGGCGGTCCGCGAGGAGGCCAACACTGAACGAGTGCTCAACTTTACCGAGGACGAGGTGGAGTCGGCCCTCGCGAAGATGCAGGACAACAATCAGATCTTCCTCTCGGGCGACTTGATTATTCTCGTTTAGAGGAAGGACGGGCCGATTTTATCATTTATTCCCTTTATCACACATTACTCCCACTACTCAGCAACAGCAGAATCAGCATTACTCTCATTTTATTTTCACTCCGCCAACTCTCCTCCTCATCCCTTTTAATCGTCACTTTTATTCACTTAATTATTATTACTTAATCCCCCTTTTATATGTGAGAATTATAACATTTTCTATCATCATTGGCTCTGTGTACAGCCATCATCAGTACTACCATTAAACGTAATTATTATGATTCTTCTTCTTTTCTACCTCTTCCACTCAAAGACCTTCACGTAGTCGACCTCAAGCTGAGGCTGTGTCCAGTTCCGTTTCGCCTCATCCGGCGTCACCGGAGGAGCACTCCCAAAGAAGTTTCCTCCCACGGCGACATTGAGCAGCAGGTAGAATGGCTGGTCAAACGGCTGGCCCACTTTGGCGTACGGATTCTCCCCCCGGCCAGACCACATCGTTCGGTTGATGTTCTCCACGTGGAAGGTCCTCCCGTCCACCTGCCAGCTGATGGCCGTCTTGTTCCACTCTACTGAAAAGTTGTGGAAGTCACGGCTGAAGTCGACACCTTCAAAGGTCCGATCGCCACTGCCCGAATGGATGTTGTTCGGCCAGCTTCCGCCGTAGTGAATGGCGCCGCTCACCTCGTTCACCCTCTCCCCGCGGTACTCGGCAATGTCGATCTCCCCGGAGGCGGCCCATCCGCCGTACTTGCTCTCCAGTGGCATCATCCAAATGGCCGGCCACAGTTGTCTCCCGGCGGGCATCTTCGCCCTCACCTCCACCTTACCGTAACGCCATGCAGCCTTCGTTCGAATGCGACCTGAGGTGAAGTTTCGCTTCAGCGAGGAGGAGTTTCTGTACTCTTCGGCAATTGCCGTTATCAGCAGGTGGCCCTGTTCTAGGCGGACATTTTCGGTTCGGTTTGTAGTGTAGTACTGCAGCTCGTTGTTTCCTAAAGGAAAAACGTGTTTTATGAGCAACTTTCTAAACTTTGGCACTTTGGCNATGCTTTGTGGAAGGGCGCAGGGAAGCCCTCATTTCTTTCTGGAGTGTGGCCTTAAACTCACCCCAGCCGTTCTGTCCGACTCCTTCATCAAAAAGCCATTTGTTGTCATTAATGACGGACCCGGAAAAGTCCTCCGACCAGACCAACTTCCACTGGGGCTCACTGGAGGCCAACTTGGCGACGATGCCGACGGTGGTGAGGGCGCTCAGGGCGACGGCAAACTTCACTAGCAGTTGCTTCTTCAGCTGAGACTTGACCATCATCTTGCGCGCCTGTGTCAATATTGTCTCTCTGTCTGTCTTTGCCTCTTTGTTCTCCTCACACTGACACTGCTGACAAAACTTCTGAATGCCAATGTCAATTCAGTATCAGTAATCAGCAGCTGTGGCGACCATCCGGCAGCCAACACTAAATCCGGCCAACATCGTCACTTCGCATTATCACTTTTTGCCCATTTTTCGCGCGATTTTTCGCAACAGTGCAGAATGCGCCCTCTGTCAGTGGAGATGCGCGACATTTCGCCTTCAGCAGCTGCAAAATAGTGGGTCGTCTATTTGAACGGCGTGTTTACACTATCTCACAGAGTAGAGCCTTTGCTTTCCACCTCGAAAGACGGGGTAAGGACTACTGGC